GTTAATGAAAACGTAATATATAAATAATTTAAAAGTAGAAAAGTTGAAAGGTACGATGTACATCATCCGGGACAAGGTGATCCAATAGATTTCCGTATAGTGCGACATTGAATCTTGGATTCATGTCGTAATCCATACCCCTCACGCAATACCTAAAGGAATTGAAAAATATTTTATTTTTATCATATATTTGGTGACGAGATTAATAGTAATAAATGATATAACTTGATGACTTACTTTGTTGCGTATGGGAAAACGAATGTGTTGTTGTTGATGGGGTTTAGGGACTCCATCCTCCACCAACCCCAGGCTTGAAGTAAAAAAGCACAGCCATAAAATGTACATTTTTCCTTGATTGCATTTTTACACAAGGAACTGTATAGATGGGCTAAAACAGCAGAATCCCAACTATACTTTCTAGTTTTTTCGAAGTCTCTAAGTAAATTTAAATACATAAAATTTACACTATTTCTCGTACTTTCGGGAAATAAAAAGGTTCCAAATAGTATAATTTCTATCTTTTATTACCTTAGCTAGCTCGGAGGAATTTTCGTTCAATTCCAGAGTCGCATAATGATTTTTTAGCTCAATAAGTAGTATACCCTGACCTCTCGCACCACCACCTTCAACCATATCCCTGCCCAACAATTCTTCACACAAAGAATTGGGTTGTTGAACCGACTCGTTAACCGCCTTACCGTTGACAGGGAGACCCAATAACATGTAAACATCCTCTAGTGTGACGGTACATTCACCTATTGGTAGATTAAATGTATGGGTCTTTGCTCTCCACCTTTCCAACATTGCAAGTATGAACTTTGAATCAATTGTGCAGTTGGAGATCTTTATAACATTTCCGAAACCTGCATAATTGAGATATGGTACGATCAACGGGTTGGGAGCAAGGTAGTTGTGTGACCGGATTCTGAATCTTTGAGTATCCTAAGTTAATAATGTAAAAGGTGTAAGAGTAGGTAAGTAAGATGAATTAAGCATTACTAGAAGTATGAAAAATGTATAAGTATAACCCCGGAGGTCATGGGAGGCGCCTTAGAGGTTGCAGTGTAGGCGCGGGCTAGGTGGCAGCCTTGGAGAAGGCATCTATGAATGCATGTTGGTTTATTCAAATTCAGTACAACCTATTTAATCTTACATTTATCAAAACACTCATACACTTAATCTCTCAAACGCTAGAACATTCAAAAATTCCAGCAATTAACTCATAAACTTCAAACCTCCAAACCTTCAAACAGTCATACACAATGGCCTCTGCACCCCAATATGTGATCAGTGCACATTTCAACGGTGAGACATACATTTGTCCCACCTCTGGGTTTTTGTTTAGAGACACTGAGAACATCCAATTTTGTTTAAACAGGAAAGCCAATTTCTTGTACTTCAAAAAACGATTGGAGGCTAAACTTGGACGAGGCCCCGTGACACAAATATTTTATCAGAATCCAGTTTTTTTTGGTAACAACCAAATAATACTTTATAAGGTTGAGGTTCAAGATGACGAGGACCTTCAGAATATGTTTTCCAGTCATGAGTATTCTGGGTACGACTCTATTGAGTTGTACATTATGTTGTGAGAGCCTCAGCTATCACAAGTGGTTGATCCTTTGGAGACCGAACAAGCAGAAGTAGATGTCGTTGATGAAGAAGAAGAAGATGACGAGTTGGAGTTTGACCAAATGGTCAATGATGATTCCAAAGACGATGGGATACCTGGTATTCCTGCAAACAAGATCTACACACCACCTCCGCACATGATAAACTTCAACATGGGCGAAGATGAACCGTCTTCTGATTTATTTTTCAATCCGTATATGCAGTCGAATGAAAACTTAAAAGAGAAAGACAAATTTTGTAACAGAGAAGAATGTATCAGAGCCATCAAAACATTTCAGATGCTCAACTCGGTCGATTTTAAGGTGGACCGTGTAAATCCAGAAATGTACAAGATTAAGTGTGTCCACCCTGATTGTATGTTCAAGCTCACTGCATCATACAGATTAAGAGGTGATTGTTGGGTCATAGGTTCCATGTCTACCCACACTTGTGTCAGTTCTAATCAATCACAGGATCATCGGAAACTTAATTATGATCTCATTTGTCAAGAAATCCTACCACTCGTCAGCAACGATCCATCATTGAAGGTGAAAACCATAATCTTCCACATCACTACGATATTTAATTATACTACGTCTTACCGAAAGACATGTTTAGCAAAGATCAAGCTGATTGAAAAGGTATATGGAAACTGGGAGGAGTCATACCAAGAACTTCCTCGTTACCTAAATGCACTCTAGACTTATTCTCTGGGTACTGTTTACATTCTGGAAATAGTGCCAGCATACGCCCCGGATGGTAGTCAACTCAACGAAAATGGAATATTCAGTCGAGTGTTTTGGGCTTTTCAACCTTGCATCACAGGGTTTGTGTCATGCAAACCAATTATACAAATTGATGGGACTTGGTTGTATGGGAAATACAAAGGCACGCTACTGATGGCAGTTGCACAAGATGGCAACAACAACATTTTCCCAATTGTCTTTGCCTAGTCGAGGGGGAGACTGGTGGTGCTTAGAGCTTTTTTCTCAAAAATCTCCGAACACACGTGGCTCCTCAACTAGATCTCTGTTTGATCTCTAATAGACATGCATCTATTGAAAGTGCATACAATAATCCTGCAAACGGTTGGCATGACCCTCCTTCCACACATGTCTATTGCGTTAGACATATCGTCCAAAATTTCACGAGGGAGATCAAAGACAAAACTCTCAGGAAAGCGGTTATGAATGCGGGATATGCATTGACACAACCTACGTTCAAATATTATCGCAACGAGATCCATTTGTCAAATCCAGAAGCCGATAGGTGGATCGATAATATTCGGGTAGAAAAATGGACTAGGTCATACGACAATGGATAAAGATGGGGCCACATGACAACAAATCTAATTGAATCGATGAATGGGGTATTCAAAGGCATACGAAACCTCCCGGTCACTGCTTTGGTTAAATCAACATATTTTAGGATGGCTTCGTTGTTTGCCAAAAGAGGTGAATGTGGAATGTTGTGTTGCAATCTAGACAACTATGGAGTGAAAGCTACATGAAGTGCATTAAGGCAGAAAGTGCCAAAGCCAACACCCATCTGGTTATACGGTTTGACCGACGCAACCACAACTTCATTGTCAAAGAGACAATCGACCACAACGAGGGCCTGCCAAGACAATAATATAGGGTTGTACTACTTTCTCATTGGTGCGATTGTGGAAAGTTTCAAGCCTTTTGTATGCCTTGCTCTCATGTCATTGTCGCGTGTGCCTATACTCATCAAGACGCGCTACAACTTCTGTCTCCCATTTACAAATCTGAAACGTTGCTCAACGCTTACAACAACAGCTTCCCTTTGGTAGCAAAACCAGATTATTGGCCTGCATACGACGGTGAAATAGTATGGCACAATGACCAAATGCAAAGGAATAAAAAGGGTCGTCCCAAAAGTAAGCGCATCACAATCGAAATGGACTCCCTTGACAAGCTGGGAAGAAAGTGTGGTTTATGTCGTCAGGTCGGACACAATCGCAAAAATTGTCAGAATTGGGCTACTGCCTCAATCACATAAAAATTGTATTACAAAAAATCTTTCCTTTATTATGTTGTAAACATTAGGGTTTTTCGTTAACAGTATTTGTTACAATAAACATTACGCGAACAAGAAATAAAACACGATAAACCGTCTACGAAATTACAACCGTTAAAACAATTTCATTTGACACATGCATCATCAACATTACGTCGCTGTCTGTTTTGACTTCCTCCAACCAAAAATTAGGTCTTCCTGTCGCAAGTGAGGTTGTTGTTCGTCTTCGCTGGATCCTTTTAATTTTCCCCCTCTACGATGTCTCCCTTTAGCCATCGCATCAACTCCCTCTTCAGACGCTCCATGAAGTGAATGTGCCAGAATTTCATTTTCATCGGAGGTTTTGTGGCGGAGAAAATAACGTAACCATCTCTGGTAAAAATCATGGGCGATGTCATGACGCAAATAACAGAGTAAAAAATAAGAGAACAGTGCGAGAAAGTGTGAGGAATGACGGAGAAACGGACGAATTATTTATAAAAACAACATTTTGCCCTAGGAGCTAAGTGAGATGGCACCTCCTCTCACTTTTAAAGTGCATGCGCCATTTACTTGGCTAAAAGAGAGAGGAGGCGCCAAGTGGGATGGTGCCTAGGGCAAGAATGGGAGTGGAGGCGCCAAGTAGGATGGCTCCTCCCTTGGAGAGTTTTCTGAAACATAGTTATTTACGTAATTTTTTTCGAAACATAGTTATTTGTGATTTTTTTTTTAATTCATGATTATTCCAAAAAAAAATCACACCCATTTTCTCATCAAAGTTGACGAATTTTTCTTTTAACTTTCTGTTTAACTTTTTTACTTATGGATTTTTTAGTTAGGTAACTATCAAAAAAACTCAACACCATATTTAATATTATTCATAGGAGTTAAAAGAATTCACAATGGAAAGACAAAATTTATTTCTCGATATAATTGTTTAAAGCACACAGAATTATATGCGAGTACTATTATTCAATTTCTCATCTGACTTTAAAATTCAACAACAAAACCACAAAATAACATGAACAAAAAATAAAAACACTAAACAAAATATCATTACAACAAGAAGCCAACCTTCATAGGTGCATTCATTTAACTTAATTTGGCAATTAACATACTTAAACATTTACTGATAAATTTTATTCTACAAACGTGCAAATATTACACATTAGAAAAACAATTGTGAGTTATTTCAAACTTACATAGTTTAAGTATCACCCAAAAAATTAAACTTGCATTTCATGAAACCTATCTTATATCAACTTGCTAGTAATTGTATTGAAAAATGATACATAACTATGAGTTAATCAATATTACAAAACACTTGGAAAATAATTTCTCAACAACAAAATCAATGACTCTTATATTGTTCAATCTTCCTTTTCATCATGCTCCCATTTATCTTCACTTGATTGAAAGAGTAACTCCATGCTATTTCCACTACTACTTCCTGAATTGAACATTGCATCCGCCATATCGGCCACCGCGTATTCAACGCCGAATCTTGAATTAGAGCCTCCACCACCGCTACCATCTCCGCCCCCGAGGTCTAGATTCACTGCGAGCGGCCACCTCTCGGAAGAATCGGTAGTTTGAGTAGTAGTACTAATGTTTGCAAGAAGGGTTGGTAGTGGTGGATATGATGATGGTGCTGTTAAGGATTTGTGACAAATGTGTTCACCTCTATATGTTACTTCAACTATGTTAGGGATATCATCTAGCCTTTGTACTTGCTTCTTGGCTGGACAATGGTATAATTTTTGGTGTGTGCACCTATAGTAACTTCTGAGAAATGAAATATACATTTCAAATTAATTCTTAATCCCATAAAAAAAGTTTGTAATTAATTAATTAGTGATAATTACCTTGGGTACTTGCGGCCAAGTATCTCTTTCTGGCCATATTTTCTCCAAGTGAAACCATCTTCTGGTGGCATTTCAGTGTTTCCAATTTGAGGTGCTGGAAACATTTCAGTTCTCTTCTCCAAATCATTCTTCCTACTAATGCATGAGAAGACACAACAATTAATTTAATATTATCATTTCTAAACTTATTTCATTTGATCTTACCGTACATTCAGCGCAACATTACGACGACATAAAAATTTCATTATATATATATATACTTTTAGCAGACACAAACACTTTTTTTCCGAGGTAACCTTGCTAGATAAGAATTTAATTTTAAACAAAAAAATGAACAGATACCTTTTTTTTGGTCGTGATGGTGGAGCTTCTATTCCTTGAACTTCTCCTAATTGTAACCCTTTTGATCTTAAAAGTTGAGCATCACCACTACCATTTATCATCTTATTCTCGAGAAAAACACTCACATCGAAAGAGTGTTGCATTAGAAGCGATTGATCCATTGAATGTGCATGCATGGAAGATACACTTCCACCCATTGGAGCATGCTGGTTTTTCTGCATGAAAACATCATGAGACAGAATCTGAGCCAAGGAACCAAAACCTTTTGTTGTTGTTGTTGTTGTTGTTTCATGTTGTGCTGATGATGATGAAAACACCATCCTAACTCTTTCTTTGGCATCACTATAAGCTTTTTCAACCTCATGAATGGATGAGAATAGAATTTCAGGGTTGTTGGCCATGTTGGGTAATTCTAGTTCAAGATTTTTGGCCAATTCAAAAGCATGCATCATAAAATTCATGACCTCTTCCATGGCTTCTTCGGGAAGTTTAAGTTTAAGATTTGTTTGGTGTTTTTGAACTCAATGTTTGAAAATATATAAAGTAGTGGTTGGTTGCTAAGAAAGTGCAAAATTTCCTAGTAAGCTTCTACGTTGGTTCTGTCTATATAATGTGAGACATATATATAGTACTATGACACCAACGAATTAGTATCTAATATTTTGATTAAATTAAACAAGTCTCTTTCCAATCAAGAAAATATTTTTATTTTGCATTCTAGATAATACCTTTTCATACTTTATAATTCTTGATTTTATATCATTCTTGATTAATATTTCCTTCTTAATTAGAGAGTGTTGTTTCTGCACAATTATATTCTATTTTAAGTGATGGACTAAACCGACATATATCACTGATAGAGTATCGTATTATCTTAAGATACTATTTTATACTTTTCACTGGTAGAGTATCGTGTTTGGATCCATTTCGGAATTAATGTTAAGGATGTCATGTTTGATATATTTCGACGTGTCGGACTATCTATAAAAAAAGATATGTCTGTGAATTTTTTGACTGACCCATTTGAGAGGAGATCGCCACATAGGTCATCAGATATTTTGGTGTACGGGTGGGTAGGAGAGAAACATGTTTTGTTAATTTGTTGGAATAATATAACAAGTGTGAGTAAGTGGAGAAATAGTCTCACATTAAATAAGAATGTAGAGACTTAAACATATATAAGTGGAAGAACTCACTCACGTTTTAGGTGGAGAAGTGATGTGTCTCTCACAAATGTGTTTATTCCTATACTATACATCAATACTCTTAATAATTTCCTTTTTTTTTTATAATAAATGAATTCAAACAAAATAATAATAATAATAATAAATGGAAATATGAGGTGATGTGTGAATCAAAGACTTAGTCTTTTTAGTCTAATCCACTTGGAAAGTTTTCAATTGGGTATTTGCTTTTTGTTTTTATTTTGGTCTTAGGGGAGACCATGATGCCCCATTGAAACCGTTTCTTTCATTGGACACTCAATTTGAAGAAGTTTCAAAGTTTGAAGTAGTGACCTAACAAAGAAATTTTCTTCTTTCACTAACAATTCTTCTAAATTAGAATTTGAACGTTTATTAAGTGCTTCATTTTAACTTAAGTTCTGGGAATCATCCTTTTCACTACTGTTTCATTAAGGCACTTGCGACCATACAGAAAATTTTAATATATACAAGAAAATGTTGAAATGTTTGTAGTTGTAAGATTGAAATCAAATTATTCTAATTTTAATGTGATTTTTTTCTTTCAAATAGAAAATATTAAATTTAAAATTATAATGGTTTGATTGGGATCTAATGTCTACAATTATACTAAATATATGTTAATATTTACGATTATTCATCTCACGTAATCATGATTCCAAAATATGGTCCCAAATTGGGCCCTAGTGACGTTTTTTGTAAGGGATTCTAATGACTTGGTATCAATGCCATTTTTTTTAATATAGAATTAAAGCAATGTAAAAACTTAGTAGTGTGAACTTGAAATAGAAAATATTTCCGCCACGAATAATGAACAGTTAAATTTTAATCAATTTAAAATAACCTAATAGAGATTATTGTGCTAATTTATTAGATAAAAGTACTTTATATATTTAACATGTCTTAACATTTTGTACTTTTATAAGATAGATTTTTGTTGGTCAAGAAATTCGAAAGGGTTGAAGTAATAAAAAAACTAGAGTATATGCATGTATTCAAAATTGTCTAACTGCATGCCACAGGTATTGAAAATTACTATTTAAATACAAACATTAACATCACTAAATCAACAGGTCCATTAACATTTAACACCATGTTGAACATAGATTAGAATATTTAATTTGAACTAAAATTTAATTCCAACAAACCGAAAAAGACAAACAAAAAGATAAATTAGATAACCACAATCATTAAACCAAACTTACATATTTGTCATTAGTTAATGCTACAAGCAAGAAAGTTGACAAATTTTAAATTAAAATATAATAGAGAGAGAAGTAAATTTATGATTTAAACTAATCCAAATTTCAGCCTAAGGTTTTCTGATCCACATTTTAACATAAATGTAGGATATGAGATGTATATAAATGTTAAGTATATATAATTAAATTATGTTTTCGACACTAAATTATATATTGTAGGTGGACTTTTTTTTTTTTTTTACAAATATGACTGAAAGATTTGAAGACGTTTTTCGATAATAGTAACATTTAAAGTATTTTAAGAGTTTAAGTCGTGTAGAAATAATCCACGTAACGACATATGTGTCAGATTTTAGTATATATATATATATATATATATATATATATATATATATATATATATATATATATATATATATATATATATATATATATGATTTTGTACTCAAGGTTTGACATTTTATTTTATTCTCTTTAAAACTCCTACATCTGATTTACTGAGATCTCGAGTCTGTGAGAAATGTATGAACGTGTGTTTCACTTTTAAGCATTTCAACTGCTTTACTTTTGTTTATTTCTTTATGTGTTTTGTTAATTCAAGTGTTATTACTTTAGTTCTTTTGTTATTTGTATTCAAAATTTCCTCGGCACTATTACATTCTCTCAAAACGTTTTACATAAAGTATTGTCTATAATTTTCGAGTTTGATTCTACAAGTCAACTAAAACTCATGATTATTTACTAAAAAGACCAGTAAACAAATTTAAACGCCCGATGTGAATTTCTTTTGTGCAAAATCAAATTTTGACAGAAGAGTGTATGTACTTTTATTTCTATTTTATGTTCTTCATACATGCAAATGGTTTCAAAATCAAAATAATTAGTAATATTCATCAAGAACAAAGTGTCAAAATAGAGTACCAAAAGATAAACCAATACATCAAAATGATACACCAAGTTATTAACTTAACATTACACTTATCATAAACCATAACATAGTTCCAAAAGACATCTAACTTAACATTTCACTTATCTTGAACCAAAACATAACTTCAAAAGAAATCTAATTTGTCTTCTTGTTTGTTTGAGATTAATTGAGACTAATCGTAGGGCCTGCGACATTCCTTGTTACATTTTACCTAGTTGTATGACTCAGTGATCCAACACTTCTGGATGGTCTCCTTATTCTCAACTTCTTGACAACAGTTCTTGATCAACTTGCTGGAGTCTGCATTTTTTAGCAGGACTTAATCCACTTTCCATAATTGGAGTTTGACTTGCCTGAGTTACTTGAAATTAACTTGGATGAGGTTGAGTGTCAGTTGTCTGAGTTACATGTGATTTACTTGGATGAGGTTGAGTTTGAGTTGACTGAGTAGACTTGTCTTGACTTTCCAGAGGTGGAACCTAATAATTTGCCTTGTTATGACCAATTTTCTTGCACATGTTTGCCTTGTTAGACAAAGACAACTTATCTAGGGGGAGTGAGTAGATCCTCAAAGAAATTTTTTACTTAAAAGCTTTTTTTTTAATTTAAGCAAAAAATTATGGGAAGCAAAAAATCGCATCCTAGATCACAAGTCGTCCAAACATAACCAATTATATGAGGCTCGGATATGTGTACAATCAATATTGAATTAAATGATGATAATAAGATATCACTATGCCAAAAATTAAAAATAACAGCGCACCATAAATAGCGCTCATTTCAGGAAGCGCTGCTATAAGTTAAAAAAATTAAAACTATAAACTAAATTAATAAAAAGCGCTGCTAAAGGGTATAGAAAAGAAAGCGCTTTCTTGAAAGCGCTGCTATAAGGCATATATATGAAACCACTTTCTGAAAGTGCTGTTATAGGGCACAGATAAGAAAGCGCTGCAAAAATAAAAAATAACAGCACACCATAGACATCGCTCATTTCAGGAAGTGCTGCTATAAGTTAAAAAATTAAAACTATAAACTAAATTAATAAAAAGCACTGCTAAAGGGCATAGAAAATAAAATGCTTTCTTGAAAACGCTGTTATAAAGCATATATACGAAAGCGCATTTTGAAAGCGCTGCTATAGGGCATATACTAGAAAGCGCTGCCTTTTTAAAATTCTAAAATTAAAAATCTTAAACCCTAAAATAACAAAACACGATTCTTTCTGCTACTCACCTCCGTCTCTCAACAGTTCTTAGCGATTTCACGACGTTCACCGACGTTCGACCTCCGTTCATCGCGGTTACTCCATCGTCACTATTCCAACCACTCAACGATTTTCATCTCCAAGCATCTTCCGTAATCACCTTCCAAATCCCTCTGTCCAACTTCATCGTGAATCACCATCACCCGTCACGATTCAGACTCCCTTCATCATCTGTTCAACCATCTTTCTCCAACAGTCTTTGATTCTGTCAAATCACCGCTCACACTCCCAGTAACATACCCCTTTGTTCTCGTTCACAATCCTTCCGACTGAAGCCAAGAATCGATACTCTCGTCTTTGTTTCAAGCTATTGTTTCCACAATCTCCTCGGCCATTGTTGGTAAGTTGCAATTTCATTCTTAGTTGCGTTAAACTGTTATGCTGTGGAAATGATTCTTCTGTCGATTACAATCTTATTATTGATTTATGAACTGTTATGTTGAAAAATCGCATGTTGAATTCTGCTCAGTTTAATGTACTTGTTTAAATCTGTGAAAAAATTATGTTAATAGTATATGTTGTGTTGGTGTCAAGATATGATGTATTTCGTATCAATATCATGCTCGTTTTAAAAATGAATACCGCTTTGGTTGCATTGATACGTTTATTCTGAGAATCATGTTCGTATTAAATATGAACACCACATTTTGCTTTGTTCTGGGTCGGTTTAGAAAGTTGGTCGAAACATAAGACATGGCTATGCTATTTGCATTCAAATTTGTGTGATCAGGAAGTTCGAGTTTGTATGCCTTGCTAATCTTTCATGATTACCTTTGCATTGTTTAATTATTAATTGGCTTCGAATTCGTTTGAAATCGGCATTGTATTCATGTTTAGATTGTGATTCAGTTTTGTATTTATGGCATGAGTTTAGACT